TGACACCTGGAGCTCACAGATAAATGCAGCTTAGGCTGTCTGCTGAGGATGGCACTGTGTTCCTTGCATAGGTAAATATTCAGTAAATGCATACAGAAGCTAAGAGTGTGTGTGTGTGTGTGTGTGTATATATACACATATATACATATATATGCATAGATACAGATATATATCCAGTGGAAACTCTGGAGTCACTGCATGTATATGTGAGACCGAGGAGGATTCAAATGTTCAAATGCACAGTTCCTTACAACAGCTCACCAGGGCCTTTCACAACTGCTCCAGGGTGGCTGTGTAGAGAACTGCGTGAGCTGTACATGAGAGCTTCAAATACACACGCCGTGGGGAGAAGGAAGAAAATAAAACATTAATAATCACTTTTGGAGAAAAGCCTAGGAATGGAAATGTGTGCTACGCCTTGGACCCGAGTTTGCAATTATTCCTAATATCTTCTTATTCTTACCATTTTATTTATGCACATGCTATATACGTGTGTGTGTGGGGGGGGGGCCTTGTCTCTTTCTCCTGTTTTAATTGGAGCAAAAAACAGCTGAGCTGTGCTCTTGGGGCATGCTGTGTCAGTACACCATGTATGCATGCATTTACTGGATGAATTCTGAGAGCCAAATCCGCCAGCAATGGGCAGGGTCTCCACTGCCAGCTCCGTCAGTTCCTCCCAGTGTGAAGCACTACGTGCACAGAGCTGATACAGCTTTGTACAGTCACCACGAGAAAGCTCAGGGGCTCGGGTGGGTGGGAGGGTGGGGGGGAAGGGGGTTGTGCATACAGCTCTTCCTCCACCATCTCAACACCGAAGGAGGGGAAGAGCCTGCCATTCCACACATGCTGTTAAAATCCAAGCCAGCGCATAATGTTCACTCCGCTCGTTTAAAGTAACACGCACAGTGCTACACTAAACACTTCCCTGAGTGCCAGGTCATCCTGTTCTCTTGTAAAACTCCACTTCTAATCAGTAATCTGTCCCTAGTCTTCAGCTGTTATGGATGCCTGATAACTATCGTGCAATTATAATCAGACGAGCGTACAGCGGTGGTGCTCTGCTCCTGAGTGATCCGCCGTACAGTGGGTCCTATTTATAGACTCTACCTCTCTGCGCAGCGCTCTGGATGAAACTGTCAGCGTGTGTACTCATAATCTAATTTTACGGTGTGCTCTGCCTCACCTGTCCGCTTGATAAACCTGTACAGTGCTAAAGTCTCACTCGACAGAAGAGAAATTCCCTGCACTCTGTGTGTGGATTCAGGGAGAGTACCGTAGAATACGATGCCATTATTAACACCAAAGTATAAATAACTGCAGTACGTGTCATTTAAAAAAGCGTTGATTTTCAGTCCAAGTTGGAAAAGCATCAGTGGCTTTCTAATTAAGCTGGGAGCGGGGTTGCCAGATTGATGCAATTTCACACTGCGCAGCTCGGTGAATGTGTGTTTATCAGTAATACACATTGTAACCTTGTGTGAAATTATCTCAGACTGATTGACTGAGATACCAGAACCTCATCTTGGTAATTTAACAACAATATATTTTATGTTCGGCGCAGTTATTAATGCTCAATTAAGCATCACTAACTGCTTCATATTTATATCCATGATGATTGATACCTCACAAACCCTGAGCCAATCTTGGCTAATAAATGCTAATTCATATATCAAATTCATGGTTACAGTCCTTGCTAATGTCCTGTGAGAGGTATCTTGATCAGCTGGCAAATGTCCTGGTCAAACAGTGATAAGCCACACACAATTTAAAACAGAATAACAAAACACACTTTGAATTAACACTTAAAAATATAAAGTACTTCTCTTGTCAAATGTGTGCTGTGATATGAAATCACGAACTGAAGATGGAAATATGTGACTGTCATGTTTCACCTGGGACACCTCACGCCAGTAGTAATGAACAGTTCAAAGACAGTGCAATAGTGCATGGGGTTTCAAGGTGTATTTGACTGATTAATTGTCGTGTGTGTATCATAAAACATTGATATCACAGTTTTGAACTTATTGTTCAGAGCATCTACTTTTATTTGGATTGTGGCCCGGAGAAATGGAGCTATAAACTTTACTATACTGGCATTTGCAAGCTTCCTTCTCCACCCCATTTGCTGTTGGCCTAAAACGGACCACAAAGGCTTACATCCTTACAGTGCATTTTAGTGAGGATACATACACTCTGGATGAACACGACAGTGATTCACCAGGCCAAAAAGCATGAGACACTCAAGCTAGGATGCACCAGCACTTTTGATTTCATCAAAGCAAAGAGTCTCCAAAGCCAGCAGCAGGGATTAGGAGTCAGGGAGCTTGACTCCACTGCTGCACGACTGAGTCAGGTACTTAACCTGCACGGCTCCAGTACCTGAGGCTACACAGCAAAATGTGAGTACTGGATCCCTGTGACAATGCCTGCCTGGCAAATAAACACCAGAGTTTGCAGCACGACCACTCAGGAAAATAGCAGCGTGGTTATTGATCCCCCAAACCGCTGAGTGATGACCCCTCGGACCGTACAGGCTCCGGACGACCGGTGCCGCTTACACTATTAGATAAACGCCTCCTTATCTGGGGTGGCATTTTGATGCGTTTAAGTGACTTTCTCCGGAATAGGCGCGAGTTCAGGGTGCTTTCTCCCCCTTGCAACAGTGAGAAAGATTGGCAATTACAGGGTGCCTTTTCAGAACGCTACGGCCGTCCCGGTTCCTGCGGGCTTTTAGCTATTTATTTATTTTTCATTGACCCGACGGCCTTATCGCACAGTGGCTTTGTATGCTGTGTTAAGTGGGTAGGGAGGCATGACAGGAAGGTCCTCACACAGATTGTGAAGCAGAACTTCTGAGGGTAGATGGGGGGAAAAAGGCTGTTCTGGGATGCAGTAAGATAGAGCTGGCTAAAAACAAGGCAGTCATTGAATGCTGGGCAGTTATTGCAGCATCACTTGACATGGGGAGGCCTGAGATGAGAAGCCCTATTTTGTTGACATCTTTAATTTGATTAGGACTGGTATGTGTGTGTGAGCTTGTATATGTGTGAGTGTGTGTGTGAGTGAGTGTGCACGCCGATGTGTATGCACATATGTGAATGTGTTTGTGTACACTCCTGCATGTGCTTGCATGTGCTGTGTGTGTGAGAGCTCGTATATGTGTGAGTGTGTGTGAGAGAGTACAGGCCTGCATGTGTGTGGCTGTGTTTGTGTGTGTTGTGTGTGTGTGTGTGTGTGTGTGTGTGTGTGTCTGCATATGTACGTGTTTGTATGTGGTAATGTGTGTGTGTGTGTGTGTGTGTGTGTGTGTGTCTGTGTGTGTGTGTGTTTGTGTGTGGCTGGGTTTGTGAGTGAGTGTATGTGTGTATGTGTGTGTTTTTGTGTGACTGGGTTTGTGTGTGAATGTGTGTGCGTGCACATATGCTTCTCCGGAGGTACATTCATGGTCAGCACTCGCAGACAAAGCCTCTCAGTGCCGGTCCCATACCGGGAGCTGCTTGTTCCCCGTGAGCCCATTGCAAACTGGCAGGCTGTCCGCCCCTCACCGAGTGCGACACGGTGGCACTGCGGCGGGAGGCTGGCTGGAGCTCAGCCAGGAAAAAACCTGCCCCCATTCAGCAGCCGCTCAGCCCTGCAAGGCCTGGCTTGTGTTTTTCATTGTGCTCTGCTGGAAAGACATCAATCAAGTAACACACAGAATGAGAGAGGTACGAGTGAAAAACCCTGCAGGAGAGGACCTGACGGTAAAAAAAACAAGCGTTTGCCAGTGATGGACAGCTCAGAGTTTCACAAAAAAAGTACGCCTGGCAGTTTGGCTCCTATTGCAGGGTCACGTTTCTGTTCTCAGAAATTTAGTCATAAGTGTCACCCGTGCTCAGCCAATGGCATTGCACATACTTAATCACGTGACCTCAGTCACTGTTGTTATTATGAAGGGGAAGTGGTTAGACAGAAAGGCATTAATAATCAAATGTAGAAACTACTGTGTTTTTTCAAATTTTAATAATTGTGTAGAGAGTTAGATGAACATCAGAACTGAAACAGAGATTATTGCTTTCCTCATGCTGAGGCTTAAAATACAAATTACCCTTATAATGGAAAAAACCCACTGAGGGACTAAGGAGTGATTAAACTCAATTTGAAATTGTTAGGAAGTCAGGATTACTTTGGCTTTACAAATCAAGGGAAATTCTCCTCAAAATATTAATAATAACCTTTCTGATTCACATGGCCGTGACTGCAGCCCCGATAGGTTTTGTGCACACTAAGGTGACTGGCATACAAATCAGTTAATGAAATACAGAAATTGCATTTTACTTTTTAATGCTCTGAGATGAAAAACTTGTCCTCTAACACAGAGCTCTGACACAGCATTGGGACTAATGGGGTCCCAGTGGTTCACACAGAGTATTTGCTGTCGCAAAACAAACTTACAAATGACTTGCTTGGAAAATTAATTTTAATAATTTGGGCATCATCAAAGTAATGTCTGGTAAAGTTGCTTCCTCACTTCCCCTCAGCCGCAGTAATTGCATTTTGATACCTTCAGTAAATGCATTTTAACTTATGTTGTTTTCATGGTGTTTGCCTAGTGTGGTATACTGTTCGCAAGGTGCTTATTGACATTAAGAATTCACTCCGTCTCCCCTGAAAAATGAATGCTACACTGCTTGTGTATGGTGGGATGTTGTGGTTCCTACTTGGTTTTTTGTTTCGATCTGTTGAGATATTAATGTGTTATTGGTTTGATATGGATAGGAATGACAAATGAGCCTTGGACGTTTTTAGCTCAGTGGAATGGGGAATCTATTGCAGCAGGCATGTACAGTTTTTGCTAAACATTATAGGGACAAGTGGAGGCAGGAGAAGATGGCGTGGGTGTGGGCTGGTGTCTGATTGGATGTCATGTTAGGGTGGAGCTGTGACTCAATGACGTGGGTGGTGGTGGAGGCATGACTTTGATGACATGGACGACACGCTGGATGAGGTGACTGGATGACAGCAGTGTGTCGTAGTGGTAAGGAGCAGGGCTTGTAACCACAGGGTTGCTGGTTCGATTCCACGCTGGGACACTGCTGTTGGTACCTAACCCACAACTGCCTCAGTGAATTTCCAGCTGTATAAATGGATAAAATCGTAACCTACTGTAATGTAATGTAATTTTGGGGTGGAGGCGTGACTGGATGACACGGGTGCAAACATGACGAAACTCCACAGGAGTGGGTAGGAGCAGGATGAAAAACATAGCCCCGCACAGCACAGTAACATAAAGCAGAGAGGACAGGAGCAGCTGTTGTGCTGAGGGCTTTTTGTGTTTAAGAAGCTGGAGTGTCTCTGAAGGTCAAGCACAGCCCTGCCTCCGTGTGACACGCTCTGTGGAACAGTGGCGAATCTGGGGCCAGCCAGGTAAAATATCAATGCCATTAGAAAGACTGGACACCCATCAGGTCCCTGAAAATGCAGAGTGGGAACCTTTACCTTTTATGAACCCCTTAGTGAATCAGTATAAACGGCTTCCGCTACAGTGCTGAGGATAAGGTTTGCACTTCATCATCTGGGTTTGCTGGTCCAAATCCCAGCTGAGCCCCTCCCTCTCCCGTTAGGCTCTTTGGCCAGGTTGCCCCGGAAGTATGATCAGACACAGCTTCAGAATGGGCCCTGTGTTCTGGCTGTCAGGCAGGTGTTTCATACCATCTCTGGGGCCTCTGAGTATGACGCTGCAGCAGGGCCCTGAGGATATTTTATCTACCCCAGAAACTCGAGTGTGGCCAATCAGATGTGTAACTTGGCACGAGGAGGAACGGGGAGCAGACACACACACACACACAGACACTTGAGCACTGAATGTGCCTGTGTAATGAGGAAGGTATCAGTGGGCATGATCACCAGACAGCTGGCTGATGGGGTATGTGTGTGTGTCTGTGTGTGTGTGTGGATGTGAAGGAAAATGTGTGTATCTGCATGTGGCTGAAAATGTAGTGCAGCTGTGTGTAGCTGTATGTCTGGATGTGAAAGAAAGAGTGTGGGTGTTTTAATGTGTCTGCGCGTATTCTTTAACACGTGTCAGTGTGTGTGTGTGTGTGTGTGTGTGTGTGTGTGTGTGTGCGCCTATATGGATGTGAGGGAGAGCGTGGGAGAGTTTTATGTGTCATTCTGTCTGCGTGTGCGTGCGTATTTGCTGGCGCATATGTGTGTGTATGTGTGTGTGCGCATGTGTGTGCATGTGAGGGGAAATGTGTGTGTCCGTACGGCACTATGGATGCGAGGGAGAGAGTGTGGGAGTATTTTATGTGTGGTTCTGTCTGTGTGTGCGCGCATATTCAACAGCGCATGTGTATGAGTGTGCGTGTGTGTGTGTGTGTGGCTCTCGTGCATAGCGGGGGAGGGGGTCTTAGAGAACACAAAATCAGGAGCAGAACGTGAGCGGCATGCGTGCAGAGGCGCCTCTCCTTCGCGTGCGTCTCAGAGCCTGACCCAGATCTTTCAGCGTCGAGTAAATGAGTCCTCACGCTCTTCCTCTCGTACAGCGGAGGAACGCCGCGCTGTCGTCCGGCTCCGCTCACCCGCCTCCGGTCACCCCGGCCTCCTCTCAGGACCCCCAAAACTGTTTCATTCGCTCCCACATAACATTAACCCCCGCAGAGTCAAAACGATCCCCTACAACTGATGACGACATGTCAGAGGGAAGTAGAGAATCTCACAGGTTGTAGCTGCTGAGGTGGTGTTCCGCAGTCTAAATCCGACACCCGTGGCTTGAATAATTCATTGGCGGGAAAGGTGAGCCACAGTCATGCATGCTGGTGTAAACTCCCTGTCAGTGTGGCGTTACAGAGCATTGTCTATTCCCAATCCTCCACTCCTGCCCAAGTCTGCAACTAGTAAAGCACAATTTGAATTTGAATTTGAATAGGCACACGGGAAGCGTTTAACTGTGCTGTGTTTTCTTTGCTTATAAAGCTAAATTCTCCACAGGGCTGTAAACAGTCTGAGTAAAGGTGGCATTTGACATTAAAAGTGTTTTATTTCCACTGTGACATTTGCAAAAGGACATTTATTCACATCGGAACAGAAGGGGAGGGGCCGGCGAGGCCATTTAGACATTGTGATGTCATACAGCACATTATGGCTAGAGTGAGTGTCCGTAAATATATAATTACTTGATTAGGCAGTTTCACAGCATTCACTGTAACCCTCTGTAACGTTTTCACAACATTCTCTGTAACCCTACAGATTTGTCAAGCAGAACTTTAAGTTCAGGTCAAGCAGAAGCTTAAAACTAGAAATATCATTGCTGTGACTAATTTTCTCTGAAAGCTACATGGATAACACAAGAAAACTAAGCTGTCAAAACTTAATGAGATGTGTTTTAAGATGTATCTGAGTCGAGCAAATAAACTACTTTCAGATGAGGGGAGAAACAAATTATAACTGATGGCTGGGGTTAAAATTATTGTCTTTACTTTTAATGACAAGAATAATTTTCTTGTAATTACACAGGTACAAAATTGCAAAATTAAGCATGCTTCAGTCACTACGTGGGCTGAATGCCCATGAAGACCATGCTGAAGCAATACACAGATTATTACAGTGGCAAGATTTGGGAACACTTTGCTGTAAAAAACTAGGCCAGCAATCAGAATGTGTCATATTTGACACCCTAGTGAGGCACTACCACTCTGCCCTCGCAAATAATGTACATAAACTGAATCACTGCTGCAAATATACACCCATATAGTGTACATTTCAAAATGTTAAATATACAAGTTAGACATACAAGTCCCTTTAGATATTTAGATAAGAATGCCTATTGGCCACTTTCATTATAATAATGATCACCCATCCCAGGCTAGTCTGGTAGCCTGCATCCAACCAGAATTATAACTGAGTTTATTGCTGAAGACAGATAAAATCACTCCCATCTGTACAGGACTACAGTAACCACAAAGGCAGTGTAGTAAAATAAGAGAAAATATAAATTTATAATGCTGCTTCAGCTCTTCCATTTTAAATCAGCATCCACCAGCTCTGTCTGAGACAGAGGGACGGTCTACACTATACCGTGGCAAATGTGAAAAGAATGAAATCCTTTTTACAAGTGACTGTAATCTTAAGCATGCATGGCAGGACACAGACACATTAAAACTGTAATGGACAACTTTCATGTTCACTCTTTGCAAGATAAACTGCTCTCTCTACCCCCCAACTCTGCATTGCCTTCTCTTTATTTCTGTCACAGTCCCTCTCACTCCTTCTATCTTTGTACCTCTTTGTGACTGTCTCTCAATCACTTTTACTCTTTGTCTCTCTCCTTTTGTAATCTCTTCCATTTTCACTGTTTCCTCATCTCTCTCCCTCTGTCTCTTTCTCTGGGTGCTGCTGGTGTGTTGAAGATTGATCTCATTCATAGAGGTGACTTAGGCTCAGCCATCTCCGCTCCTAAAAGGCAATGTCGACAGCAATGTAGACACAACATTCACAAAGTTCGAAAGAGGCTAAGGTGGATTCAAACTCTGGGTGCGACTTCACCCAACTGCTGTGAAATCATATCAAAAGCAAGCATTACAAGCTGCCTTTCACAAGAGGTGTTTGCTAAGCAAATAGGCAATGAAAGGTTCACCAGGTGGTGCGGTCTGCTTTAGATTCACTGTAACATCCTGTCACACCACACATTCAGAACGGGACATGTGTACAGTGTACATACTCTGACTGACTATCAAACACTTAGAAAGAATAATGCCCCCTCCATTCCCACCACTTCATTCCAAAACAGGAAATACAGATCAGGCCATCTCCATGTTTGCATGTGTAACCAAGAGACCTGAGACTGTTTTTATTAATTATCAACTTCATGTCGCGGCATATTGGGACTTTCCTTTTAATTTACGACTGATCCTCTGTGCTTTCCTCCTTTCAGGATAAAAAATCCATATAATAAACCAGCTACTCAAGGGGGTCCTTACAGAAAATCCATAACCCCCAATCTCCCCACACACATAACACCACCACCACCACTACCACCACTTTGATTGATTTTTAAATAACATATTTTCTTGTCATAAACACAGGTTCTGTCATAAACGTGGGGGACTTCTAAGGTAATCCACAACGGAGCCACCCATAGCTCGGGAAGGGTTCCTCCCTGCCCTGAGATCACCCTCCTTGTCCTGGACTGATCACAGCGGAAAATTCTCTGGTGGTGAGGATGGCCGCTCAGACTAAAGGGTTTGAAAGTTTGCAGATGACGACGCAGTGGGAGATTGTTTGAAATGTGGTGTGTGTTTATCACTCAGCCCAAGAAGGTGTGTATGTGTGTGCGTGTGTGTTTGCGCACGCTTGTGTGTCCTGACAGGACTCCTCATTAGTAGCTCACAGATGTTCAGTGCTCAAAGCAATTAGATGAATTATGATAGCAGTCACAGAGATCTGCTGGAGCTACGCGCTATACAACCTAAAACAAATTATGCTGCACTGCGTTATCGGCTGCAAAGCATTGCACAATCTGGTAGGTCATAAGATTGTGCAACTGTTTCAACTGGACAAGGTAAACAGAAGCAAACTCAGCTAGCTAATAGCATTTCAGATTGGTGTCCCTTGCACAAACAGGATGCAACACCTCTACAGTAGCACACAATAAGGTCTCTAGAAAATCTTTTACTCCTACTATATGGAAAAACTAATGTCTCAAGAGGGGACAGTAATGAATATTACTGATGGATATAACAACTGTAACAGACTCACTGCGCTCAACTGATTTGTTTGGAATCTGCTGATGCCTGTCTGGTTCCATGGTGACTAGGGAGCTGGGAATTTTCCCTGAGCCACAGACCTTACCAGAGTCACAGACCTCACTAGAGCCACAGATCTGACCAGCTGAAAAATGATCCTGCAAAGACTACACACAGGTTCACACAGACAGGTTTAATGGCACATGTCAATAATGTTAGAATGGACAAAAAAGTGATGACCATCACTGCGTGTATAAGTGTGGTGTTTTCCTGAAGCTGCAATTTACTTTATTCAATGGCTACAGATCTTGCCCCATTTAGCTGGAGACCAAAAACAAAATCGCTTAAATCCT